AATCCCAAATCAAGCGTTTTTATTGTGTACAGTACTCTTACCAAAGGGCTTTGCAAAAGTCTTATGAGTGAACCTCAAAATTCAGATACAAGGTGAACTAACTGCAGGGTTATCTTGCAAAATATATTTCAGATTTACAAAACATGTTCAACCCATTGTGACTTTTTTCCTGTGGGTACACTTTTTATTTGTAAGTTGAAAGGAAACTGATTTCTTTGAAGATAAAGTCAAATAAAAATACGCAGAACATTTTGAAAACTCTTAAATTTTAAATTATTGCATTTCATGGAGAAAACTTGGGTAAGAACCCCGACTAATCCCAGTCCTTCACTAAGCTCATAGCTCACTCTTGGTGCTAGTGAAAGTCCTCTCAAAAATTTCAGATATAGAAAGCATGTGCAGCTAGTGTCAGATGAGGAAGATCTCAAGCTGTTCCAGTGTGAGTTTAAACTGGATTTTCAAAAAAAAAAAGATTTTCACTCCCCTGTGTATTGTTCTCAGTTATGCTATTGCAAGTCATATAAGTATGTGATCCAAAGAGACAGTTGGGTTTTTGATGAAGTGAGTGTGTTATAGAGCAGTGTTCCCCAAACTTGGGCGCGTGGACCAGCAAATTCCCCAAAAAAAAAGTTTCTGCGGACCAGCAAAGTTTCATTGCATTTCTGCAGACTTGCAAAAGTTTTTCTTGACAGACTTTATGAGAGACATTTAAAAATTTTTGCTATTTTGCAAAAATTCAGTCAAGCAATAATGAAGCAGCTATACCTGAATGTCATCAAAAATAAGATTTCAAAATTCCCTGCAGCTTTCAGGTTTATATTAAAGTGTATATTAAAGTCTGCGGAATGATAAAGCGTACGTTTTAAATCAAATTTTTCTCAACTATATTCGTTTGCAATGAATGGATTGACGATTTCCTCACAACTTTCAAGGTGAAATATACAGTATTTATCTTCTTTTTTGAGAATGTTCCATTGAACATAAAATTTTTTATATTTTATGCGCTTTTCCGTGATGAAACGTCATCTTCCATAGATTCCAATTTCTGAACTTCGCTTCTAATCTTTATCGATTGGTATGTGTGCTGAAAGAACTTCACAATTACTGTGCAGTTGATGAACATTTTTGTAAGGCTGCACTAGGTGTTTTTCAAATTTGTTCAATCACAAACTTGAATAAATTTACATTTTATTGAAACTTTTAGAGTTTGAGGAAATCCTCATATGATCCTCTTGATAATTTGAAACCTGAAGAATACAGGTTATATAACTTACACTTCAAATGAAACTATTTTCAGCAATACTCACTTGCAATGAATGGATCAACGAGCTCTTCGCAAGTTCCGAGGTAACAGTCGACACTGTTCGACACATTGCACGGGACTGTTTCCCCATGTTGCTTGCAACTTACGCAAAACTGGATCCATCTCGACTGAGATGCGTTGTGGAGCAGTTGAGGGACATGGAACCCCACAGGAAGAGCCGGTATTTCGTAATATCTTACGTGTCGAATGTGATCAGTGTTGACGTGATTCTCGCAATATGGTCGAATCTACCTCAAGATTTACTGAAAGNCATCTCGACTGAGATGCGTTGTCGAGCAGTTGAGGGACATGGAACCCCACAGGAAGAGCCGGTATTTCGTAATATCTTACGTGTCGAATGTGATCAGTGTTGACGTGATTCTCGCAATATGGTCGAATCTACCTCAAGATTTACTGAAAGCGCATGACGCTGCCAACGTGTCGTTCCCACTCATGGCTTCGTCGTATCGGAACTTGTTTTCACGCCATGTCAAAGGTGATGCTAAGGCTGCGTTCCAAACATGGATCGTGCCGTTGTTGAACAGGTGAGGAATACAGTAGTTTTTTTTTATTTATTCCTGCGTCAGCTCAAGTGAAAAAAAATCAAACGTGGGGACATTTTACAAAAGTTAGTTTTTTCTTCTCAAAAGTGGTTCATCTGTCAAGGTTATATTATAATTTCGTTACGTCGAATCTCGTTATGACGAATTTTTTTGGATCCAGACCCAGCACTTACAACTATCCTTACGACAATATTATTAGAGCAATATCATTTTATTGTAAGTTTTTAGTTTTCGACATCTTTTACTCCTGTTTTCTTTAAACAAATGGTTAACCCTTAAAGTTAAACAACAAAGTTGAACTGTAACTTACTTTTTGAATAAATTTTAAAAACCTTCCAGTGAAAATTGTCAAGATTCAAGATTTAAACCTTCCTCTCTGGGCATCTGAGTTTTTCTGTTCACAGTTTTACTGGACTTATTTCTGGCATTTTGACAAATTCCAATTGATTTTGAAGTGTATTCCAGCTGCATTTGTGCAAGTGTTTTGCAGTTTTTCAAAAAGCTTTCATGCTTCCTGGAAAATGGGAAATTGAAATGTCCAAATCTGGGTGATTGAAAGGATAGAGAGACAGAACAAGATAACAATCCAAGACAGCATTTCTGTGTGCTACAAGAGTACAACTTATTTCACAGGAATGCAAACTTTAAGGCTTCGGAGATTTTTTTGCTGTGCATTGAACAGCGATACCATCCAACACTTGAACACTCAGGGAAGAGATCTGGCAAAACTTATGTGTGTGTTGAGGGAACAGAAGGAACAAAAGGGATTTTTCCTCAAGGTCATTTGCAAACAAAGAGCATCAGAAATATTACTACATACATGAATTAATGGTTTTGCTGACTCATGTGCAGTGTAATCATTTGAAAGAAAAGCTTGCAATTGAATAATTTGCCACTTGATATCTCACTTTTGCATTTCGATTCAGCCAGTTTTCTGCATTCAAAACGTCTACATCCTTTTAAATTGTAATGAATGATCGTGCAAATTCTTTTTTGTGTCAATTGTGATACTTTGATGGCAGTTGTAATCACAGATCAAAGGGGAGGTAATTGAAAAACCCCTGTAAATCAAGCTTTTTAGATGATCTCCAACCATTCGGGAGATATCACTTTTGTTCCAGCCTTTAAAAATGAAGAAATTCGCATTCTCGATTCATTAGATGCGATGGAAAAGCGGAGGATTTGTTGAAAAATCTGGTCATCGTCGACTCGAAGGTGGCAGCCTCCATGTGCGACGCGTTGGATTTCGAGAAAGTCACAGAGCCCCAATTGCGACTTGTGCT